TAGTAGTAGTAGTAGTAGTAGTAGTAGTAGTAGTAGTAGTAGTAGTATAGTATTACCATATTTTCCACCGTACACATTGCACCACCGTATAAGTCGCACCAGACCAATAATGTCTAATAAAGTGGGAAAAAACATAGATGTCACATCTATTATGTGTCACCGCTGACCACCCGGTAACGTGGGCACATGATGTGCCAAAAATCAATTGGCTGCCAAAAGAGGACTTTAACAAGAATTTAACAAGATTAACAATTATAAACAATTATTTGTTTGCTCGAAATTATAGTAAAGGTGTCTCTCAGTTGAACTTTTCCTTAATAAATGCACTTCAATGGTCAAATCAGCTGCATTTCTGGCGTGGTGGCGTGGTGAAATGCAGATGATTTGACGTTTACTACAGGAGTTCCAGAGCGAGATGAAGGTGGTTTTCTATGGCAAGTCAAGTGTCTCATTAATAGCCACTTTTACCTATTATTGAGACACTTGGAATGCCATGAGGGCCCTCTAGCAGCTACATATAGTAACGTTTAATATTTTTCAAGTCAGAATGAATGAAATCATCAGATCTCAGGCAAAAATTGGATTATAAATATGCAGTGGTATATTAGTTGCTTTGGTGTATAAGTCGCATGACTTGCAAATTTATGCAAAAAGGTGTGACTTATATGGCGAAAAATACGGTAATATTGTTTATAATATTTGAGTTCATTTTCAGGACACACTGCATTTGGTAAGGGGATAAAAGTGAAAAAAAATGGTAATTGGTAAATGGACTGTACTTATAAAGCATCTTTCTACAAAATCAAGATGCTCAAAGCACTTGAACACAAGCTGTGCCTCATTTATCCATCCACACACATTCATACAGTGCTCTATCTCTACAAAGCAATTAAACAAATCCTTCAATAGAAACTAATCAGAGCTTTAGATCACATTCATACACCGATGGGACACAGATCAGAGGCAATGAGACGTTCAGTATCCCAGGGACACTTCAACATGTGGTTGAATAGTAGAACTGAACCCCCAACTCCCCCATTAGAGGACAACTGCTCTAACCACTCTGCCACAGCTGCCCATACATAAAAAATATTTAGCACAAAATTGGTTTAGAATTTTTTTCGTCTTTTTCTATTGAATATTTTGACCAATTGTGGGTTTACACATAAATTGCCACATATTTTTGATTAATTTTACGATGAATTTATCTAAATACAAAAAAATTAAAAATTCAAATGTTGACTTTTATAGAACTTCTTACCACAGTTGCACTATGTGGGTGTGTTCATGATCTGGAGTCCAGTTTATTTCATTTACAAAGGTTGGTTTTAAGTGAACAAGATTGTCATTTATTGTTGCTTTTCACACTGTAGCGAGACAAATTCTCTGCAAATCTATCATCATTTCTAATGCTAATTATAAAATTAGTATTTATTTTTTGTTTGTTTGCTTGATCACAGGCTACAGCCAATCTTCAGGTGCTAACATGACAACACAAGACATCTGTGAGGTTCCTGTTCCAAACAGACATCCTCACACAGCCATGGTGAGTATATATTGATGGGAGCAGCAAATTCAAAAGGTTCAGGATGAAATTAGGATTAGGGAAATTATCTCTTCCTCGAACTACATTTTTGTCTGACAGCTTAATGCAACACAAATTCTAAAGAATAAAGAAAAACACTTGTAATGCCTGCTGGGACAATTCAATTACAGGCTTCCAAAGCCACAATGCCCAATTTTCAGGTTTAGGGTTTCTGTTTATTAAAATTATGTACTTCATGTTCTAATTTTGACCAAGTTTCCATCCAATTTTCTTTCACCTCAACAGAAAAGTTCAGCAAAGAAGCACCAATCATGCAAAGAGCAAGATAACTATGTGGTGTGACCATGTTGGGGCAGTGTGAACTTCTCAGCTAGAAAAATGTGTGACATGATGAGTTTTCTTCTGCTACTGCTGTGAGCCGAGGGCATTTAGGCTGCTAGTTTAGAAAACATAATTTTATTAAAACCTTTATTTATTTGGCAGTAAGGATCAAAAGTTGCAGCCTGTCACGATAACAATAAATCAATTAATCGCGTAATAAATTAAAATGATCTACCTTGTTTTCATTTATTGGCGTTATCGTTTCTTCGTGCCTCTCTCGTTCTACTGAAGACACTGGATGACAAAAAGCTAAACTCCGGTGCTCTTCATTGACCCCTCCCTTTCTCTTTAATTTTAACCATCCAAAATCGCGTTTTTGGATCATTAACAGCTAATCTGAGAAGCTAAGCTACGAGCTAAGCTAACAGGCCGACCTCAGTCGAAGCTCCAAAATTCATAGTTGAAACTCGTGCCTTCGTCTAAAAAAATTTCTCTGGAAAAAGAAGCTGAGAACTTATTTACTGATTATTTTTTGTTAAGCTTTGTGTGAAAAATGCTATGCTAAAGAGCTCAAACCACACCGAGCGTCTGCCATCATGAGAACCGAAAAACAGGAAGGAGTGACAGCCCATGTCACGTCAAGAGGCCTCCCTCCCATTTTTCTTAAAGAGACATGCTGCTCACTCCCTCACTATCCATCCTTCGGTTCAAACAGTCTCTTACTGCCATTTGGTGGTTGAAAAAAGGTACTACATGCAAAACAAATTAACCAACATGTCTTCTTAAATTTGACAATAATTACTAATTATTGTCAAATTTCAAACATTATTGTTTATCGCAATAATTTCTGAGAATTAATTGCCCAGAAAAATGTATCGTGACAGGCCTAGTTGAAAATCTGTTTGCTTTAACTACCAAACTCCATTTAGAGTTGGGTGAGTGTTTTAGATGGTAACAGGGTGGAGATCAAACAAAAACAATGCATTTGCCAAGAAATTTGTCCAGGTTTTAAAACGTTTTGCCCAGGAAATCTTTGTCTGTTACAGCCAGACAAAGACAAGACACATCTGCACATATCACTGCTGCATAACTTTGTTAGTAAGAGTCCTGATGCAAAACAGGCCCATCTGGATGTCAGACCTGTCATCCATTGAAAACATCTGGCATGCCATAAAACAAGAAGATGACGCAGATGACCCAAAAACGACTTGGAATGAAATATTAGTATCATTCATTTCCTTCCAGAGATTACAACAGAAATAATTTTATGCTGAGAAGGAATGTTATTTTTGGTTATCTCATGTAATAGTGTGACGTCTTGCGAGATGTTTGTGCTCAGAGTATATCATCAGAATGACTATCAGCTACTACCACCCAAAATGTGGTGCAATGTTTGTATAACCGACTGAGTCATAGTCACTATTTTGTGTTTTCTAAAGTCAGTTGGCTGCAGTGGCCATCTTGACATGGGTGCCAGTGGTGTAGTCTACATTTTTGTAGTGGGTATTAGGCCTGTCACGAAAACAAATTTTGCTGGACGATTGTCTCAGAAATTATTGCAATAAACGATAATATTGTTTGAAATTTAACAATTATTAATTGTCAAATTTTAGAAGAAATGTTGATTTGTTTGGAGTGTAGTAACTTTTTTTGGCCACGTGATGGCAGTATAAGACTGTTTGAACTAAAGGATGGATAGTTGAGCAGCCTGTCTTTTTTAAGAAAATGGGAGGGAGGGCCCTTGACGTGACATGGGCTGACATGGCGACATGGTGGACGCTTGGTGATTTGAGCTCTTTAGCATGACATTTTCCACACAAAGATTTTAATTAAAAAAATCAGTAAACAAGTTCTCAGCTTCTTTTCGCAGAGAAAATCAACTTTTTACACAAAAGCACATGTTTCAACCGTGAATTTTGGAGCTCGACAAAACAAAGGTTCATTCCATAGGTCGGCCTGTTAGCTTAGCTCGTAGCTTAGCTTCTCAGCTTAGCTGCTTTTAACGATCCAAAAATGAGACTTTGGGTGATTAAAACGGATTTTAAAGAGAAAGGGAGGGGTCAGTGAAGAGCACCGGAGTAGAGCCGTGTCCAGTAGAAAGAGAGGGACACAAAGAAACGATAAAGTCGGTAAATGAAAATGAGGTAGATAAATTTCATTCATCATGCGATGAATTGATTTATTGTTTATCGCGACAGGCCTAGTGGGTATACAGCGGTGGACACCGTCGAAGCCACAGAGTCCAACGTAAAACCAGCGTTACTGCGGTTGGTCCGTATACTGTGCTTAGAAATCAAAGTACACTGGTTAGTACAATGTAATCATCAGTTTATTTTGATTTTTAAGCATATTGAACATTTCCAAATTTCTCTGATGCTTATGTACAACAAACTTTGTACACCAGTTGGCTTTGTATTAAAAACATGTTATAGAATTTATAAAACGGTATCAAAGCAAAGCAAGTATTAAGTAGTAAGTACAGCAGTATTAATTATACAATAATTCGCTGGATAAGCGAATAATTAATATAATATTAATATAATAATAAACAAGTGCTGCGTAATGGTAGATTGTTACGGAAGCGTTTAACAGCCATTTAACATATCAATGACACGTGCCTAATGATATGTCATGTATCATGGGTATACTGAAATTCTTGAGCTTTTCTAGTAAGTATACTCCACATGCCATCACGTAGACTACACCACTGATGGGTGCTCTCCAAAAGTTGTAGAAATGCATCCAATGACTATTTCCTGAGTGCTTCATCTGAATCCATCCAGTGGCTTGTGAGATATTTTGCTAACACAATACGTGACAAAAACGTTATCGCCCGCCTTTGACCCTATAACAATTAGCCTGGCTAAAATGTTCATGAAAATAACTCTCCTCGTCCCACCTTTGCGTAAATGTTAAAGTTTAATGGCTTAGAAGAAAAAGAAGAAGAAGAAGAGGGGTGTGTGTGTGTGTGGGGGGGGGGGGGGGGGGCACTGCAGTCACATCATTCAGCGGCTGAACAAATGAATGAATGAATGGATGAAAGGCAGCAGGACCGCGGTAACCTGATCCGCGCGGGGCGGCCTCTTTGTGTTCGGCCGCTGCGCGCGCTGCCGCCTCGCTCTTTGACTGTTTCTGGAAAGGGACAGAAAACACTCCCGGGACCTCGCGAGCCCCTGCATTATTCAGCGCGCGTGCCTTGAAAGAGAAAAAGAGAGAGAGAAAAGGGGGCAGAAAGAAAGAGGTAGAGGAGGAAAAAAGGAGAAACAGAAGGAGGAGGAGGGAGCTGCAGCTTGGAAAAGCTGGCGCGTCAAAAGGAGCTCAATGTCACCGTAGTTCGAGGCTGCTGACACCGGTACCGCTGCTGGGACCGCACGGAGACAACGCGCTTTATTCCCTCTCTGCTTCGGCTGTTTCACGTCCCAGCTGCTCGTTACTGCTCTTATCGACGTGGATGTGCAGGAAGAGGACAAAGGGGTTAACGCATTTCACGTTTTCCCTGCCGTTTCAACTAATCGGTTAATTGGTCGGCTTCAGGGAGCGACGGAAATCAGAGCTTCGCAGGTAAACAAACAAAATGAACCGGAATTTACTCTGAAAACCTGCATTTCTTTTTGTACAAGTTGGGGATATTCAGTGAAAGTGTGTGAGCTTGACTGTGGACCATTTGGATTTATTATAGTAAACTTTTCTGCGCAATAGAAACAATTCATTTCATTGGCCCTTAATTAAAATATGGGGGGCACAGGAAACGGTGCATCCTCTTCCTCTGAAGAAAAAGCAACAGCAAAAGGGGTCAGTGGAGCAGAGTGGTGCCTGCTGCAGTCTCCATCTCTGACTCCCTCCTCCTCTGCATCACTTTAACCCAGATATCGGAATGACCTTAACCTGCTTTTCATAAATATTTTGATGGAGAGATAAAAAGCTTTGATGCTGCTGCTTCTGGTATTAATCCTGAGAAAACAGATGTATGTATACCTTTCTGTTCTGCACCACAATCATAGATTTGCATTTTTACATGATAATGATTTTTTAGTGTTTTTCTGCTCTTCCCTACTCATAATGTCTTTTACACTGCATTCTTTCAGTCTGCAGTGCTTTTTCTTCCAAAATGCACACATCGATCAACAGATTGGGGATAATGACGGGTTCTTTGTCTTGCTGAAGGACACTTTGACACGTGGGATGAGAAAGCCAGAACCAGACTGCCAACCATCCATTTCTGTAGATTTAACCAAAAAACAACAACATTATGATCAAGTTGCTGCAGATCGTTTTATCCTGCCTTGATCAAAAATAACATACAGTTTGACCATTAAATGCACACGTTGCCATTTTGGACAGACGTAAAGTAGAAGCAGTTATTACTGTGTTGCTGCAGTTGTAGGGAATAAAACCAGAGCAAGAAGTGGCATATGCTTTGAGAAAAAACACAAAAAGCCAGACTTCATTTGTTTGCAACATATTCTTTTGGTGGTGAACTTTTTTTTTTTTTTTTGTATTATACTTCTTTGCTTGAAGCTGTTGCCAAGCAACTTGAAATCCTTTCAAAATATTTTTTTTAATATTTGCTCATGGTCAGTGACAGATAGAAAATAACTTGCCTGATTTTATTTTCTAATGATATATATTTGTTCTTTGGATTACTTAATATTTTTGCCTTTGCTGCTTAAGGAACTAACAATTTGACCTTGTTTTCT